CCCCCCCCTTCCCCACGATATATTACAATATTTACAAATATCCTCGTGTGATTCTCCTGTACATTAGAGACTGCTCCTCACGTGTGTCCAAGGGGGCTCGGGACTTGGTAGCGAATTTACTTTACAAAAGCTTCGTCTTAATCTGGTAACAAAATAGTGCTCGGCAAATTCATGTGCGGTTTTATTTTATCTTTGTCACTCTTCGCTCAAAGACACGGGGCATGCTTACAGTTTGTCCTTTTCTTTTTTCTTCCTCGATAAGCCGCTATCTCTTTCTCTTCGTGCCTCCCCTTCTCTTACACGCATGCACACTCTCGGTCACACACGTACACGCATTCTCAATCTTCAGCTCCACCTTTTCCCCCTGTCTCGTACGAAGTCGTCGCATTTGCACCAATATGGTGTACGGTTGATACTCGAGCTCTAGGATTAATGGCCGAATTACCCGTGTATCGTCAGGGGAAGAAAAAAAAGAACTTACAAAAAGAGAGTGTACCACGGAACAGGAAACAGCCACATTGTACTTCAAGACGGACTTCGAAAAGGAAGCACAAAAAAGGAGATGAGAAAGACATCTGTCGATTCTTAGGAGTGCAAACGCCTTTTGGAAGTCTGGCTGTTTTTACTTTGTACGCTTTGTACGGGGGGATGGTCTCTTTTTTTGTAAGTCAAACAAATCTGGGAATCCATCGTGGCGTATGAAGTGTACACCGGTCGCCATTGATAATTAAGCTCATGTAAAACAAAAAAAGGAACAGCACGATAACTTGAACTACATCACTGTGTCGCATATGTTTTTTTCCTGTCTCTAACGCCATGCGTTTCTCACGTCGTGAATTGGCGATAACGTTGATCCTACTGATCAAGCGTGGGTAACGGATTACGGAAACGCATAAACCCTAATCTTCGCGTAGTAACGCCGTAAGAAGCTAGCCGCGTCGGATGGCGATCAAGTTCATCTGATCAGCCACGTCACATCAAAAAAAAAAGGAGAAAATAAAATATATATAAAAAAAAGTTTATAGGGAACCGACCGATCGATCGGGCGATATTTGTCATCTTGGCTGGGAGATTCTCCTGAACGTTTGTAGAAGCATGCGCGAGAATTCACCCGGGTGATCCTGACTATCTAACCAACGACGATCATCGTCATGATCGTCGGCCTCGACGTATTGATGCTTGACGATGATAGTGTAGCAGGATGGGGCCGATCGTGCACTTTGCGCCTCACACTAAGTTCGAGCTAGCCATGCTCTTTAAGGTTCGATCGGTAATTTGTTTAGTGAGTTGGAGCCGCGGATCGCCGGAAGCCTTACTGTCAGGGCCTGACGAGAGGCTTACCTCCGTACGACGGGGGATACTGTCCAGTCAATAGAGGATAACCTAATCCAACGTGGGTGTGATGATGCGTATGGACGTGTCTTTGGGGCGGCGGCGACCTGGTGTCCTTCCCAAGGTTCCCACTCGACGCATCCGCTGCGGTCTGTTGCTGCTGCTGACCACCCGGTTGATTCTGTTGCTTCCCCGGCTGCTGTTGCCCCTGATTCTGTGGTGGTCCAGGTCCTGCGGCCGACGTCGGGGGACCACTAGGTGGTCTTGCAGGAGTAGGGCCGGCCGAGGATGGACTTGCGGATGCCGCCGACGTCTTCGGCGTGGGTGATTTCAAAGCTCGCTCTTGGAGCTCGTGAATCTTGTGCGCAGAATAGTATTGATTCGCGTGATGTTGGAGGAGATCCAGGGCTTTACCTCCTGGCGGTCTGCTCAGGTCTTCCGGTGCGTGATACCTGGGCAGCTGATGCAGGTAGGGGTTGCCGGAGTATGGACCGGGTACTAGCATAGGACTTAGACCTCGGTAGACAGGATGAGCGGGGTCGAAGGGTAGACCGCCGTAGTGCTGCGGCTGCATGTATCCAGGATGAATGTAAGCGTACTGCGATGTAGGAGGTGGCGGCGGACCCTGCGTCTCCATCGTCGGCTTTACACCCTCCTGCTTGTTTTTGCTATCCTCGCTTTTCCCAAGGTCTTGAGGTTTCTCCTGTTTCGGCTGATGCTTCGGACTGGGAGGTGGTGGTTTTGCTTGCTGAGCTTGCTTAGGACTTTCCTCCTTCCGCCTTTGTTCACCAGGATAGAGATAGTACCTCCGGTCATCCTGAACAGGCACCGGGGGTGGACCTCGTTGACTCTGCGAGCTGTGATAGACGTGATAGGGGCTCATCTGACTCTTCATCTCTATACTCTCCTTCAATATTTGATGGTTCTCGTGCTGCTTGTCCTTGAGACTCGGCTGCTGCGGTTGCGGCTCCTGCTTTATTTTGGCCTTCTGCTCGTGCACGTCCTGTTCCTGCGGTTGGTTTTGCTGCTGCGAAACGGGCTGCGGTTGGTACGGATAACCAGGAGGCATGTATCCCGAATAGCCATAATAGTGCTGCTGCTGCTGCTGGGGCGGCGGGTTCAATTCTTTCTTTTCCTTCTCAGGATTTTGTAGACTCGTCATCGAAGGCATTTGCGGTATGTTCAGAGGCTTCACTTCCTGCTTGGGCGTCAGATCGCTCGGCTTCTGGTCGCCAGACTTATCCTGCACACTCGAGACCAAGTATGGCGGCTGTCCATAGTAGGGATACATGCTGAATGCATGAGCCGGTAGGTGTCCCTGAGTGCTAGGCTTCCCGTCCTTCTCTTGACCTTGTTTGGCCTTATCGGCCGACTCGGCCTCGAGAACCGGTGCCGCGTCATCCGATATATCGGAATACGCTGGACTTTGTACATCCTCCCTGACGGAGTCGACGATGGGCGCCTCCAAGGGCGAGGGATGAGGACTCCCACCCGGGGACTTGCGCGGCTTCTTCTTGTATCCTTGAGGCTTTGGAGTCCTCGGATCCTTGCTCTTATCTTGCTCGGGCATAAGAGCGGCCGTAGGTTTGACCTTGAACTGGGGCATTTTTGCATGCAAACCGACATTCGGATATTGCTGCAGATGCGGTTGCATGCCCTGGCCAGGATGCCCCGGGGACGCGCCCTGCAAACCACTACCCGGCTGTTGCGTAGCCACTTGACTCGTGAGACCCTGCAAACCAGGATGCTGACTTGTCATATTCTGTACAGTGGGCTGTTGCTGTACGCCAGGCTGCTGCTGTTGCGGTTGCTGAAGACCAGGTTGCTGTTGAACTGGATGAGTCGGCGGTGGCTGACCCAGCTGCGTCGGACCCAGATGCTGCACAGTCTGTATCTGATGTGCAGGTTGCAACTGGGGCTGTTGTTGCTGCTGCTGCGGCGTGGACATGGCTTGTCCGGGTTGTTGTATCTGTGGCTGCACAGTCAGAGGCTGCTGCGTTTGCAACAGAGGATTCTGCGTCTGATGCTGTACCTGACTGGGCTGCGGCGGCTGGGGAATATTCAGGGGTTGCGGAATACTCGTACCAGGATGCGGGGACGGTACAGGCCTCGGAGATTGACTCGGATGAGGACTGGGACTCTGGGGAGGATTTGTCACTTGTGTCGGCAGTACAGGTCTAGGTGGTGGCGCTGCGGTTACCGGCGCCGGGAGATCATCCTGACCAAACCTCAACACTCCAGGTTTTACGATATTCTTATCCGAGAGTACAGGCGTGGGTGGGTCCACGCTGGGCGAAGGAACTCTCGGTGGTGGTGGGGTTTCCGGCGGAAGTATAGCCGGAGGACTCCCTGTCCTAACAGGGGTACCTTCCGGTTTATCCGCAGGCGACTTCACAGGTGTCGCGGGACTAGGAGCCTCGATGTTACTCTCATCGTTCTCCGACATACTAGTAATGGCTTCCTTGGTGTCATCGTCATCCGCTGACCCATGCGCATGACTCTGATGATACTTAAGTCCATTAATATGTTTGTACTTCTTGCTGCAGTTCGGCTCCGGACACTCGAGGAGTACCGGACTCGCCGGCGGGGAGCCACTGGGTGGCGTCGGCGGTGGTGCTCTCCTCTTATTCTTCTCTTCCTCCTCGGGACCACGTGACTTCCGTTTGGCCGCGGGATCCGGTCTCGGTGGCACAAAGGCCGCCGGACTTGGACTCGCTGCCGGCGAACCTTGCGCCCCTCTGCGTCCCTTGGCGCCGCCATTTCTCAATTTGCTATGAACCGAACTCCTCGTCTCCGTGAAGTTGCTCAGGTCGTTTCCGGGCGTCGAGTTGGCCGCGGCGCGTCCACGCTTCCCTCTGCCCTTCGGGGTCCTCGCGTCCAGGTCGCTCGTAGGCGAGTCACAGAATCGCGGGGGCGCCCAATCGTGCCGCGTGCAATCCAGTAATGTGCCCACGTACGTTTTGCCCCTCCACGTGACATTGACGACCAATACACCTGCAACAAAGAGAGTACGTCCCAAATAGTAATGGTCAGTAAATTCCTCCTGGATGCTACAGCTATCTTTGAGGGTGCATACTGATGGCCGTTCGCAATCGCTCACACGCGTGTCTATACGTCCAATCTGTCGAAAGATCTCGTACTGGCACTTCTTGGAAGATGCAGGCCGGGGCTCACTAAGGGGAGGCCTGATCTGGACCGAGATCCAAGAATGGTCCAGCAAAAACGTACGTCTTTCATGGGTTTGGGCAGATCGATATAATACCAGGGATACCGATCGTTCCTGCCCTCGATTCCTCTTCTCGCTCTCCAGAAAGAAATCGAGCTGGATGCTGAGGATCCAGCAGGGCCTTCTTACTTTTTCTCGCGGGCGAGTCAACCGTGAGAGAACCAAAACAAATCCGCCACGCTTCAGGGAATTTTATAACTTATAAAACAATCGACTCCGTGTCTTGCGTAATTCACGAATACCCCAATTACGGCACTACACGAATTGCCATTAGCTCCTATTGATTACGTGATCTACGAAATCACTGACGGACGTCTGCTGTACTCGATAGGAGATAAAAAATCGACTTCGACAGAAAGAACAATAGGCGGATTACGGTATCGTGTATTTGTATTAAAATTTTAAAAAAATAGCTTCGACGCAGATGACCTCAATTTCTATCAAATAATTCACACGTTATCTCGTAACGCGCTGAATCGATAAACTGCGAACAGATACTCGAGTGATTATCCGTTTTCAAGAAAAAAAAATATATCGGCGCCACTTGACGCAAGTCAAACAAGCACTTAGCACGCACGATTTCAAATGATAAGATTGATAAATTTCTTGCCGAGGTATCGTGCGTAAACAGGTCCGAAGTAAAAAGTGAAAAAAATTTGCGAACCGATAAAAAAAAATCACGAGAACTCATCGATCTATCCATCCTCTCTTATCAGCGGTGGATGAAGCTATTATAAGTCGCGGTTTTATTACGCCCGGTTTATCATTACCGTTCGTAATCAAGTACTTATCAAGATAAGGAAACAGTTAGCAAACAAGTGTACAAGGAGTATCGATATCAACATGGAAGGATACGATAAGACTAATTATGATCCGTATACGAATCAAATCTGAGTTAACGTCCGATAAAATCCTGAGTGTCCAAAAAAAAAAAAAAAAAGCCTGATTTTATATAACAACAAATAATTGAAGCACGTCGTACAGGAACTTCAAGTAAATCACGTATAGCTACATTTACCTTATAAATATAAAATGGCTGAAAGCCCTCAAAAAAGCCGTTACGCCATTTTGACTTTTCTTTTTACACCCTTCATCCTTTCAGGGTAAGTCAGAAAATTGCCACTTTCGATGAAGAGGGCTAGCAGCAACCCTTGAACCTTTGCTTCTATTTCCACAGCTGTACCTACAAACGCCCTACAAGTTTCGTACTTCACGGACTCCCTTAACCATCGCCGCGGCCCTTTAGACCCTTGGAAAGGCACCTTAGCGTCATGGCTGCAGTATAATACAAGAAGCCAACAAGTACGGCAGGTAACACCGAACACCGTCAAGGAGGACTAGTAACGGCGACCAACGCGAACACGAAGAACTTCTCCTAGTGTATAATATGTATCAGGCTCGTGGAAGGAACGCGTTAACGTCCGCGAACAAAGAAATTCGATCGAACCCACGTACACGGAATGATTCCGCGGCTACAGGTCCGGAGGTACCGACGACGAAAAAGAAGCCGGTCTTAACCACAAAACGTTATCGTTGATACCATAGCAGGCAAAAAGGACGGGTCGGTCTGCTTTTTAATCCAGCCGATTCGATTCACTTAGCCGGTGGGACCCCGGGGGCAATGGCGGCTGCTGCTGCGCCAAGGCTTCCACTTTGGAATTTACACGGAATACGGATAGCACTTACAGGGAGTGCACGACCTGTTTGTTACTTGGCTGTACCAACATTGCAGACGGAAACATGTACTGCGTGGATTATAGTGAAAGAGACTATAGGCATCTCTGTGTATGCACAAGCTATATGGATGTACGGCTAATGTATTTTTCTTAAAGAAGACGGATTATGCTAAAGAGAGAGAGAGAGAGAGAGAGAGAGACAGAGAGAGAGTAAAGACTAAGATGAGAAGACAAAACAAAAATAAACATTAAAAATAATAATGTACTCGGTATATGGTTATCCTACCGGAGGTTCAAGGCGACCAACATCCTAAAAGCCAAGAATACCTGGCTGCGTGTTTCACAGCATTGAAATCTCAAGATCTCTGGTGTCAGGGTAAGATAGGTTGGGTATATGTTTATACCTTTTGCCATAGCAGAAAAAAGCACCAGCTTATCCAACGTACTTCGGGTTGGCAGTAAGTGAAAAATTGTTGGACCAGGTACAGACAGATGGATACATGTGTCGGTAGCGAGATAAGGATTGGGTCGTTCATTCTCGTGACGTCACTTCCATTTGCGGCAAGTCAAAAATAAATATGGCAACGTACCCAAGGATCGTAGATAGAGTATACTGTGTCACTTTTAACAATTCCTACTATCTCTTCTTAGCCGACGGTCTGTCTTTTTTTCTCATATTTTCTCAGTGGCTTTCTTCAAATGTATACATATATATATACACCGACTAAATAGGTGGTAATGACTACGGTAACCACTTAGCGTGACCAAGGTGTGACTTCATAGTCATTTCTTAATCATACGGCAAACCTGAAACGGCATCCTGAGAGAAGAAAACTGAATGATACGAAGAAAGAGGGGGGGGG